GAAAATAGTGTCGGGGTGAACCCCCGAGGGCAGGAGGTGCTCAGTTGGACCAGGGATCTGAGGAGTCTTGGGAGGGTTCCAGCTATTTATTCAAGGCAGAATTGCTCATGCTTCGACCGCAGAAATACCTGCTACGTCAGGGCTGGGTCTGTTCTGCAGTGTCACTGGAGGGATTCCTGGGGCCAGCTCGGGGAGGCGTTTCATCTCCAAACTGGGATTACAAAAAAAGAAGGAAATCTGACTCTTTATTAAGATCTCTCCTCCCAGCACGGGCTGGGTAGGATTTCAGTGAGCACTGGCTCTCTCCATCCAAAGCTGCAGCTCAGCACAGAGTCAGGCCCAGCACCAGAGGCTGAGGATGAGCAAAGGACGTGCAGGAAGGTCTGAATCCCGAACCGCCTCCGCTGCCACAAAAAGGGTGAGGGGCTTTCTGCTTTTTCCGGGTAAGAGATGGAAAAAACCCCTTTGCGTTTTCTGATGGGTGAGGAATCCCTAGCTGGAGCAGCAGCAGCGACCACTGGGTGTCAAGTGCTTGTTCCATAGGGAAAAAGCCCATTCCCATAAGGACAGGGGTGGGAGCTGCAGCTGCCTCACAAGGAGCCACAATGATGCCACCACCCTATTTCCCTTAGGGAGGCCATTTAACCCTTGGGGTCCTATCCCTTCATGGGCTCAGTGAGTGCCACAGCCTGTGTGTGGAGCGATGCCAGCGCACTGAGGCTGCCCTTGGGAACCTGACTTTAACCCCCTGGGGGTCCCATTCCCTCATGGGGGGTTCAGTGAGCACCACAGCCTGTGTGGGAGCTGCCAGCACTGAGGTGTGCCTGGGAGGGAGGCTGCAGCCAGGCATCACAGTGCCACCACTCCATTCCCTTTAGGGAGACTGATTTAAGCCCTTGGGAGTCTCATTCTCCCATGGGGAGCCCAAAGAGTGCTGAGCCTGTGTGTGGAGAGCGGCTGCAGCCAAAGGGGGTCTGGAAGGACTAAAGCCAGGCACCACAGCACTGCCACCACCCCATTTTCCCTGGGGAACCCATTTTAACCCCTTTGGATCCCATTCTACTCAGAGTGGGCTCAGTGAACACCCAGCCCATGTGTGGCAAGTGACTGGCACTGTAGTGGCCCCAGGGTTCTGAAGCTGAGAACCACAGCACTGCCACCATTCCAGTACCTCAGAGGAGCTGATTTAAGTCCTTAGGGGCATGATTTTAGCCCTTGGGGATCCCATTCCCCTCAGAGTGGGCTTAGCAAGCACCAAGCCCGTGTGTGGGAGCTGACAGTGCTGAGGTGTCCCTGTGAAGGCTCCAGATGGATACTGCAGTGCCACCACCTGCCATTCCCCTCACAGGGGCTCATTTAACCCCTCTGGGCTCCCATTCCCTCCTGGGATGCTCAGTGAGCACCACAGCCAGTGAGTGGGGAGCTACTGGCACTGAGGTGTCCCCTGGAGAGCTCCATCCAGGCACCCCAGTGCCATCATCCCGTTCCCCTTAGAGGGGCTCATTTAACCCTTTGGGGGTCCCATCCCTTCACAGGGGTCACAGTGAATGCCACAGCTCATCTGTAGGAGCTGCCAGCACTGAGGCTACCCTTGGGGAGCCCCTTTTTTCGTCATGGGGTGTCCCATCCCATCAGAGGGGGCTCAGCGAGTGGCACAACCTGTGTGTGGGGAGATGCTGGTGCTGAGGTGTCCCTCGGGGGCTTCAGATAGGCACTGCCACCAAGATATTGTCCTCATGAGGGGGTCTCATCCATGAGAAGAGCACAGCGAGTGCCACAGCCTGTGCATGGAATGCTGCTGGCACTAAGGCATCCTCAGAAGGGTTCCAGCCAGGCAGTGCCACCATTGCATTCTCTTTAGAGGGACTGGTTTAAGCCCTAGCAAGTTCAATCCCCTCATGAGGGGCTCAGTGAGCAACACAGCCCGTGTGTGGGAGTTGCCAGCACTGAGGCTGCTCTTGGGGAACCCCATTCCCCTTGACAGGAAAGATGTGTGCTCATGTATTTACAAACAATTCCATGGGTGAGGAGATGGGTGTTAATGTCTTTCAAATGGTTCTTAATGTCTCTACCAACTTCAAGCCGCAGGTTTGTTAGAGAAACCCCTTGAAACAGGCAAAGGATCTGTATAAGCCTGAGTTTCTGAACTTTGAAGGGAAGATTACATGTTTAAAGGGGGAATATGTGGTAGGCGGTTCGGGAAGGCTGTACCTTCCGAGTACCTCAGCTGATGGGGAAAGGAAGAGGGCAACATGCGGCCGGGAGTTCAGGCTAAAAGGAGGCTGTGTCCTCCAAAACCGAGAGAGAGAGAGAGAGAAAACCCCACGGCCGTATGCCCCAGTGGACAGTCTCTCCCTTTATTGGAATAAAGTTGCAGGACTCCTCTGTCTCCTTTATGGACACTGACTTTTCAAAACATGATTTCCTGCACACCCTCAGAGGGCACTCGGTGAGCACCCAGCCTATGTGCGGTGAGTGGCCCCAGAGGTGCTGAAGCAAAGAGTCAGAACCGCTACCATCCCAGACCCCTCAGAGGGGCTGATTTAAGTCCTTAACTCCTGTCATTGGCCCTTGGGGTCCCACTCACCTCAGAGGGGCTGATTTAAGCCCTTAACTCCTGTCATTGGCCCTTGGGGTCTCGCTCCCCTCAGAGGAACATGGAGCGTGGCCAGTGCTGAGATGCCCACAAGGGCTCCAGCTGGGCAGTGCCACCACCATCCCACTTCCCTTAGAGGGGCTGACTTAACCCCTCAGGAGTCTCATTCCCTCATGGGGTGTTCAGTGAGCCCCACAGCCCTTGAGTGGAGTTTCTGTTACTGAGGTGTCCCCGAGGGGCTACAGCTGGGCACCACAGTGCCACCACCACCCCATTCCACTCAGATTTAACCTCTCAGGGTTCCATCCCCTCTGAGGGGGCTGAGTGAGTACCACAGTCCATGGGTGAAGAAATGATAACACTAAGCCTGCCCTTGGGGACCTCAATTTAACCCTAGGGGATCCCATTCCCCTCATCGCGGGGCACAGCAAGTGTCACATCCTGCATGTGGCAGCTGCCAGCACTGAGGTGTCCCTGGGAGGGTGACTGAAGCCAGACAGCACAGTGCCGCCGCCGCCGCCCCATCCCTCAGAGGGGCTGCGTGAATGCCTCGCATGACCCCACGGTAACCCGCGGGTGCCCCGTCCCCTCACGGCGGCCGGGGCGGGGGAGCTCGCCGGGGCTGTGGCGGGAACCGCCCGATGGCGGCCGGCAGCCACCACGCGGCCAGCGCGTGCTGCGCGCATGCGCAGCAACCCCACCCCTCAGCGGCACCCCCGCCCCCCCCCCCCCGCCCCCACCCCCCCCCCCCGCCCCGG